AACCACAGTGCCTCCTGCTGGAAAAAGCATCATCTTCATCACCTCCAATCAAAATCGGCCCCAGTTTTAATAAGCAGCTGTATATTCAAAGAACAGAAACCTAGATATGGAAGGCAGGGAGGGACTGAAGGCATCAAGTCCGACGTCTCCTTCCATGAGAAACTCAAGTTCAAGAAATTCACAGCGGTCTCCTCTCAACTCGTCCTGGGAAGGAGAGCCCATCCACTCTTTGAGTTCTTGTGCGACTTTCTCACAGCTAAACTTTCCCAGATCCTGTCCTATTTTATTTACACAGGACTACGCTGCTAGTTCCCACTTTCGGAGTGGTTCACATTGGATATGGACCTCAGGGCGAGATCTAACCCCTTAAGAATGAAATGGAGCTGGTCCTTCTGAAGATTTGGAAATCACGCTTCCATGGGAACAGTCAAAACTTGTGCTCATATTGCTGGCAACCGTCACTCATTCATTGGCCTGTCATACCGTGACCAGCTACAATTCCTCAGTCCCCTGAGTGTAAGGTAAAGGTTCCCCTCACACATAAGTGCTAATTGTTCCCGACTCGACGGGGTGGTGCTTATCTCCGTTACAAAGCCGAAGAGCCAGCACTATCCGAAGGCATCTCTGTGGTCATGTGGCTGGCAGGACTAAACGCCTTCACTGTTCCCCTTCCCACCAAAGGGGTCCCTATTTTTCTACTTGCATTTTTACATTCTTTCGAACTGCTTGGTTGGCGGAAGCTGAGACAATGGGAGCTTACTCTGTTACGTGGTGCTGGGAATTCGAACCGCCAAAGTGCCGACCTTTCTGATCGACAAGTTCAGCGTCTTAGCCACTGAGCCACTGGGTCCCCTTTTCCCCTGAGTGTAGGTTGGATAAACCTCACTTACATTTGAATTGTTCACCTAAGTTATAGAAGAGGCAGCAATTGCCACAAGTACATCTGCTATTTATACACTGCTCAAAAAAATAAAGGGAACACTTAAACAACACAATGTAACTCCAAGTCAATCACACTTCTGTGAAATCAAACTGTCCACTTAAGTAGCAACACTGGTTGACGATCAATTTCACATGCTGTTGTGCAAATGGAATAGACAGCAGGTGGAAAGCATAGGCAGTTAGCAAGACATCCCCAATAAAGGAGTGGTTCTGCAGGTGGTGACCACAGACCACTTCTCAGTTCCTATGCTTTCTGGCTGATGGTTTGGTCACTTTGGAATGCTGGCGGTGCTGTGGTACCATGAGACGGAGTCTACAACCCACACAAGTGGCTCGGGGAGTGCAGCTCATCCAGGATGGCACATCAATGCAAGCTGTGGCAAGAAGGTTTGCTGTGTCTGTCAGCGTAGTGTCCAGAGCATGGAGGCGCTACCAGGAGACAGGCCAGTACATCAGAAGATGTGGAGGAGGCCATAGGAGGGCAACAACCCAGCATCAGGATCGCTACCTCCGCCTTTGTGCAAGGAGGGACAGGAGGAGCACTGCCAGAGCCCTGCACAATGACCTCCAGCGGGCCACAAATCTGCATGTGGCTGCTCAAACGGTCAGAAACAGACTCCATGAGGGTGGTATGAGGGCCCAACGTCCACAGGTGGGGGTTGTGCTTACAGCCCAACACAGTGCAGGACGTTTGGCATTTGCCAGAGAACACCAAGATTGGCAAATTTGCCACTGGCGCCTTGTGCTCTTCACAGATGAAAGCAGGTTCACACTGAGCACATGTGACAGACGTGACAGGGTCTGGAGACGCCGTGGAGAACGTTCTGCTGCCTACAACATCCTCCAGCATGACCGGTTTGGCAGTGGGTCAGTAATGGTGTGGTGTGGCATTTCTTTCGGGGGCCCAACAGCCCTCCATGTGCTCGCCAGAGGTAGCCTGACTGCCATTAGGTACCGAGATGAGATCCTCAGACCCCTTGTGAGACTATATGCTGGTGCGGTTGGCCCTGGGTTCCTCCTAATGCACGACAATGCTAGACCTCATGCGGCTGGAGTGTGTCAGCAGTTCCTGCAAGACGAAGGCATTGATGCTATGGACTGGCCTGCCCATTCCCCAGACCTGAATCCAATTGAGCACATCTGGGACATCATGTCTCACTCCATCCACCAATGCCATGTTGCACCACACTGTCCAGGAGTTGGGGGATGCTTTAGTCCAGATGTGGGAGATCCCTCAGGAGACCATCCGCCACCTTATCAGGAGCATGCCCAGGTGTTGTAGGGAGGTCATGCAGGCACGTGGAGGCCACACACTACTGAGCCTCGTTTTGACTTGTTTGAAGGACATTACATCAAAGTTGGATCAGCCTGTAGTGTTTTTTCCCACTTTAATTTTGAGTGTAACTCCAAATCCAGAACTCCATGGGTTGCTAAATTTGATTTCCATTGATAATTTTTGTGTGATTTTGCTGTCAGCACATTCAACTATGTAATGAACAAAGTATTTAGTGAGAATATTTCATTCATTCAGATCTAGGATGTCTTATTTTTGTGTTCCCTTTATTTTTTGGAGCAGTGTACTTTACGAGAGTTGATTTCTCAAGAAATCAACTAGGGATCAAATAGGGATTAATAACTGGGAAGACCCAGAAACCCTCTATTGCAATGGTTGTTAAGTTTGAAAAAAGGTGACAAGCCACTTTTTATCAGTGCCGTTGTAATTTCAGTCACTGAATGAACTGTTGTAAGTCGAGGATACAGCCGGATAGAGCTGTGGGCTCCTTCATTTTATCTGATCATTCCCTAAGTGGGAGCTTTCTCTCCCTACTCCCAAGGCCATCCCCACATACCGTCATAGGAAGCTCCTTGAAAAGTTTGAGCCAACCTCTGTCTTTCTCCCCCAAACCCCTAGCCTACCTCACAGGATGGTGGTTGGGAGGTTAAAATGAAACCCCCCATGTAAGATGCCTTGAATTCCTGGAAGAAAACATTGCAGGCATACTGTGTGTGTGTGTGTGTGTGTGTGTGTGTGTGAGAGAGAGAGAGAGAGAGAGAGAGAGAGAGGGAGGGAGGGAGGGAAAAGAGACAGAGAGAGACAGACAGACAGAGAGAGAGAGAGAGAGAGAGAGAGACTTGTGAAGAAACCCAAATAGGAAGCACGTCCACATCAGCTAATTCTATTTTATCTATAAGGTTACATTTCCCAGAATCTTGTACACCTGGAAAAACTACATTTCTAATACAGTTTCAGGATTGAATTGGTGCAGCGTGTGGCTCTCTCTGAGCTTGGTTGTTTTCCTGCAGGCGTTACCTCATCAGGTAAACAGGAGTATTTGCAAGCAAACAGCTCGAGCTCAGAGACCGTCGCAAACTCCATAGTAGTACATTTCTTCCCTGTCGCCTTTACAGCCCAAGAAACTAGGGTCTCTTCTGAGTTGCCTGTCCCACCCCGCACCTCCTATCCCACTGGCGTTGTCTCCAAGGTCATTTCCACATACCAACACAGGGGGTCATGTTAAACATACAAACGGGTGTGTTTTCTTGCTTTGCGCGCTTTGGAGAAATTGCCGGAGGAGGAGAGGTGGGTGGGGCTCTTTAGGATATCCCAAGCCTCTCTTGAACCTTTCCCACGCTTATTAACTTGGTTTCCCAGTACTGTTATTTGTTTGATGAATGTCTAGAGGGACCATTAGGCGATTCCAGAACACGCTTAGCAGCCTGGAGGGAGGGGGTGGGGAGGAGGAGGAGGAGGTAGAGAGGAGGAACAGGAGAAGGTGCCAGCTTGGGACATTTTTGAGAAATGGAGTAAGATGTCAACCAAATTGACGTTGTCAGTAAAAATCAGCCAAGTCGCTTGGTGACAAATAAGGAACAACTTCAATCGGGAATCAACAAGCAACAAAGATGATTAGGGGACTGGAGACTAAAACATACAACGAATGGTTGCAGGAACTGGGCCTGGCTAGTCTAGGGAAGAGAAGGACCAGGGGAGACAGGATAGAAGTGTTCCAATATTTGAGGGGCTGCCCCAGAGAGGAGGAAGGGGTCAAGCTATTCTCTAAAGCACCCGAAGGCCGGAGAAGGAATAATGGATGGAAACTGAACAAGGTGCTTTTTTTCCCAAAGGCAACTGAACTTTCTGGTTTTTCTCTGAAGACATTTCGCTTCTCATCCAAGAAGCTTCTTCATTTCTGAAAAAGCACCTTTGGACAACCATGACCCGGATGACTGAGAATCTCTACAGACATTGATCGAGGAGAGATTCAACCTGGAAATAAGGAGAAATTTTCTGACAGTGAGAACGATCAACCGATGGAACAGAAGTTGCCCTCAGAAGTTGTGGGAGCTCCAACACTGGAGGCTTTCATAAAGAAACTGGACAACCATTTATTTGTAATGGTATAGGGCTGTGATGGCAAACCTATGGCACGCGTGGTGGCACACAGAACCATTTATGCCGGCATGTGAGCTGCAGGCAAATCTACCTCACTGTGTATGTGTGCACCTCACAGCTGATTTTCAGCCTCTTTGAGGCCTTTTTCGGCCTCCCAAAGGCTTGAGGATGGCTTCTGCAGGCTTCTACAAGCTTTGTAGGCCGAAATCTAGCCCTGTTTCTTCACTTCCGGTATTTTTGGAAAAACAGGAAGTGATGAAACGGGGCTAGATTTCAGCCTACAAAGCTTGTAGAAGCCTGCAGAAGCCTTCCTTAATCCTTTGGGAGGCCAAAAAAGGCCTCAAACCAGCCAGAAATCAGCTGTGAGGTACAGTGCAAGTAAGGGGGCGGCAGAGGGGTGGGGTGGGATTGCATGCGCATGCATAGGGGGCATGGGGGGGTGCGCATTTCCTTCTGGGTGCTGGCACACGAGCACGGGCATGCAAGCACGCGCACAATTTTTGGCACAGGAGCCCAAAAAGGTTAGCCACCACCGGTTTAGGGTCTCCTGCTCCAGCAGGGGGTTAGACTAGAAGACCTCTGAGGTTCCTTCCAACTCCTATTATTTCTTGTTCTACGTTCCATTCAGTCCACAGCCCACAGGTGGAAAGCAAAGACAGGGTGGAAATACTTTAATAAATAAAACATCCAGCCCTCCTAGTGCGGTTTAACAATCATCAAGGACAGAACTGTGAAAACAGCAGCCGTAGCAGCAACAGCAGCAGCAGCAAAACAATGGGTCAGTCGTAAAAGTCATAATAAATTAAAAGAAAGTAAAGATTAAAGGCCGGGGCGTTTCTTCTCTTTTTGCAGAAGGGTTTTAGATTCGCCAAGGAGCTGTTCTCTTCTGCAAAACGGGATTTTAGTTTTGCACGGGTCTTTGGCTCAACTGAGGGGCTAACCACACCTTCTCTGTTCTCCTGCACACAGCACCCCGAAGAAAGAACGCTTGGGTGTCCTGCTGGGCTGGTATCGAAAAAGAACAGAAATATCTGGTGGAAAAAAAAGAGACTAAAACAAATTCCGTCCGACTCCTCCATCACTAAGGTGGACAGAGCCATTGCCGGCTTCTCCTGACGTTCCCGAGCCTGGAATTTGAAAGCCAAAGTGGTTCCCCTTGGCATGGCCAGCTGGCTGGCAGTTCCTTCACCTGGGGGGCCGGATATGAGCTTCTCCATCCCTCCCAGGGCGAGTCATCAGATCCTCACGAGTGGGACTCCTCCCGGGTTGTTCGTGGCAAAGGTTGTTGACTTGGGACCTCGACCAGATATTTGTAGGACATGCCCACCATGACCTGCAGGGGAGAGACAGAAAGGTAGCATTCTAGGGAGGTACGGAAAAGGAAAGGTTTGGCTGTAGAAAGATGGAAGGAGAACGGGTCTGGAGTTGACTCCAGGAATTATTTATAGGTGGTCCAGGACTTATGACCACAACTGAGCTCAACTGTGATCATACGTGGAGGACCACCTGTAAATAACAGTTCTGTTGCTAAGTGAGACAGTTGTTAAATGAGTTCTGCCCCACTTTATGACCTGTTTGAGATAAACAGAGGTGCTCTATAGGTGTCCATACACACCTGAAAGCACTTTTTATTTTGCCTTTTAGCACTAGCCCTTAGACTTATATACCGCTTCACGCTGTTTTACAGCCCCTCTCTAAGCGGTTTACAAAGTCAGCCTCTTGCCCCCAACCATCTGGGTCCTCATTTTACCCACTTCGGAAGGAGGGAAGGTTGAGTCAACCTTGAACCAGCCGGGATCGAAGTCCTGGCGGTGGGCAGAAGTTAACTTGCAATACTGTATTCTAACCACTGCATTACCACGGTTCTTGGAAAAGGTTTCTGAAAACTGAAGACTGAATGGAATAGCAATAACAGTAGCACTTAGGAGGCTTGAGGGGGGTGACATGATAGCTGTCTTCCAATAGCACTAGCGCTTAGACTTATATACCGCTTCATAGTGCTTTTACACCCCTTTCTAAGCGGTTTACAGAGTCAGACTCTTGCCCCCAACAATCTGGGTTATCCTCATTTTACCCACCTCGGAAGGATGGAAGGCTGAGTCAACCTTGAGCCTGGCGGAGTTCGAAGTGCCAAACTGCAGGCAGTCAGCAGAAGCAGCCTGCAGTACTGCACTGTGACCACTGCGCCACCGCGGCTTTGCCCTTTAAGAACTATTCGGTTTCAGCAATTCTCTGAAAATGGCCGTGAAAATACTTGGCTGCCTTCTGTGATTCTCAGATTTTATTTTTCTATTCCTTCCCGCCCCCCCCACACACACACAGCTGTTTCTCACAGCTGGGGAAACCCAGGACGATCCTCTATTCAGAACAGAGAAGCTTAAATGAACAGAGAAATCTCAGGGGATCTCAGAATTACACTCTGAAGAACGGGACGCTTCGGCTGAAGAAAGAGAAAGGAAAAACCGGCCTCCGCACACTCACCATCAAGAGGCTGAGGAGGCCCATCATCACACCTAACATGATGTACAGATTATCCGTCAATCCTCCAGCCCACAGAGGCCCAAGGATGGTGGCAATTCCCCCAACAGACCGACGGAGACCCTGGCTGAAACCTGCCAAAAGGAGGAAGAACAAGAGAGAAATAAAATCCTGCTGTTTTGAAACTCTCACAAGAGTGGTGTGGTGGCCTAGAGGTGAAGCTCTCCCCTCACAATCAGGAGGCTGTGAGTTCAATCCTAGGTAGAGGCAGGTATTTCTTTCTCTGGGCACAATGACACTATATTCTTCTGTGGGGGAAAAAACTCCGCATTGGTGACAAGAAGGTCATCCGGCCAGTAAACACTCAGCTCCATTTAGTTGCCCAGAGTCCACCCCGCAAGGGATTTTTTGGGTCATTAAAAGATGATATTAAGCCTCTCAAAACCTGTAGCCAGTCTGCAAATGGACTCTCTTTAAAGGCACTTACAAGCCTCATCATTCATTTAATGACCGAGAATTCTAGGTTACGGTGGCACTGAAAAAAAATGTGATTTATGACCTTTTTTCCCCTCAGGCACGTTGCAACATCCCCGTGGCCACCTGATTAAAATTCAGACGATTGGCAACTGGCTTGTATTTATGACGGTCACAGTTGTCCCCGGGGTCATGTGGTCCCCTTTTGCGACCTTCTGACAAGTGAAGTCAATTGGGGGAGGGAATTCACTTAACAACCGTGCTGTTAACTTAATAACTGCAGTGATTCACTGAACAAGAGTGGAAAGAAAGGGGAATAAATGGGGCAAAAAAAAAAAATTATCTTCGTAACTGCCTTGTTTTAGCAACAGAAATGTTGGGCTCGATTGGGATTGTAAGCCGAGGACTACCTGTTCTTCTTTATCCACAAAACTCTTCCATGACTATCCCACCTTACAAAAGCCTAAAATTAGCACAAAGAGGTCCAGCTTTACACCTAAAGAAAGTGCGTCGCTGTTCAGCATCTGTCATGCCCCTGTCAGAGTCCGAATCTGAGGAGGAAGCCGGACAGCTGACAGGGAGTGGGAGTGTGGCTCCGTTGGCAGTGGAGGAAACTGGGGAAGGGCAAAGTCTGGCTGGGTAGAGCAGGGGAGAGGTAGAGCAAGGGAGAGGGAATTGGGAGGAGGACCCAGGCCTACCCCCTCTTCATCCTAGGGCATGCGGGGAGGAACAGAGAAGGGAGCAATGTGGGTTGCATGGCTTACGAGGGAGGAAAGGGCCCTGATTCCCTTCATTAGCCACATCTGGGAAAACAGCTGATAAGAAAGGCAGGTTGCATGCGGCAGGCTGCTGGGAGCAAACATGACTTTATCCTGTGTTGTGGTGGCTTATCTGTGTTCCTGGCGTCTTCCCAACTGTGTGAGTTTTGCCATGCCTTCAAGTCTGAAATTCTTGCTCCTGCCCTGCCAAACTAATTACCTCAGTTTGGCTTGTTTGGACTTTAAGTTACAGTTTGTGTTGACCATGTTTTGGACTTAATTCCCTGCAGTCAAAGGCTGTTCCTGGGAGAGTTTTTCTCCAGCCAGAAGGTAACCAGGACATTGGGGGCAAAGTTGGAGATAATAAAGGGACTCTTATTGCTTATCTGACTGTGTTGCCTTTGTGCCACCCCCTGACCCTGGGTCATCACAGCATCCTTGACTGTACCCAAAAGAGAGCTTATTGTCTTCTGATTGGTATGAAGAAATGCATCAAAATAGCCTTTTTTTTTTTTCCAACTCTAGAGCCACGTTGGAAGTAGCCATGCCAACACTTGGGAAATTGGAGAAGACTGGAATCAGGAACGGGGTGGGCTTACCTTGAGTCCTCTCCGCTGTGACTTTAGAAAAGAGCGACACTTGGGAGACAGCGACGAAGGGCAAGCCCAAGACCTGCAAGAAGACACCTATGACCAGCTCCGCGAGGAGTACAGCAAAGGTACCTGCGTGAGGGACGGAGACGTGCAAAACAAGGTTAAGGAGAAAGTTCACAGCCAATCATACCAGTGTAAATTGCACCTCGCTCAAAGCTGCCTTCCTCAAAGGGACGCCTTCAGCTTGGCCTTCCTGGGAAGCTAAGCTAGCTCTTTGGTGGGTCAAGATGGGCTACAGGTTCTCATCATCATCCATGCAACTATTTGGGAGAGGACAACTTGCTAAGAAAACCTTCCAGTGCCTATTTGGGCTAGGAGAGGATTACAGGTAGTCCTTGAGTTTTGACCACAATGGAGCCCAATGTTTCTGTTGCTAGGTGAGACAGTTGTTAAGTGAAATGTACTCCATTTTACGACCTTCCTTGTCACAGTTGTTCAGCGAATCGCTGCAGTTGTTAAGTTAGGAACACGGTTGTTAAGCGAATCTGGCTTCGCCACTCTCTTTGCTTGTTGGAAGATCGCAAAAGGGGATCACATAACCCTGGGACACTGCAACCGTCATAAATATGAGTCAGTTGCCAAGTGTCTGGATTTGGGTCACATGACCATGAGGATGCTAAATGCTAAGTGTGAAACATGATCATATAGTCACTTCTTGCAGTGCCGTTGTAACCTCAAAACGGTCACTAAAAGAATGGTTGTAAGTTGAGGATTACCTGTATAGATATGACCATGTATGACAATATTCAAGGTTCCTTTTTGTCTGACCCAGCAACATCTTAAAATCACCCAATTTATACCAACTGCTGACTTTCTCTATTGCAGTTTAAGCGTTTTACGAGACCTGTCGTTCTCCGGGAGGCTATAAAACAAGGACCTTTCAAACTTGGCAACTTTAAGACTTGTGGACTTCAACTCCCAGAATTCCTGAGCTAACATGATAGGAGGAGGAATTCTGGGAGTTGAAGTCTACAAGTCTTAAAGCTGTTGAGTTTGAAGAGCCCTGCCATAGGCATTGAAGATTGGTGGACTTCAACTCCTAGAATTCCTGAGCTAACATGACTGGAAGAGGAATTCTGGGAGTTGAAGTCCCCAAGTCTTAAAGCTGTTGAGTTTGAAGAGCCCTGCTCCAGGGCATCAAGAGGTCAGGAATTGAGAAGATGGGAGCGAAAGACCCCTTCACGCTCTTCTCCAGCAGCCCAACATTATTACCCTGGGGGTGTGCCAGGAACAGCAGGCACCACACGCAGGCCACGTTGCAGATGACCAGGCCTAGCAGTAAGATGATCCGATCTGAGAGCCGGGCGCTGAGAAGGCGCACCAGGAAGAAGCCAGCGATGACCTGAAAAAGAAGAGGCACAATGACAGTGTAATCGGACCCTGTGCGTGCAGGGACTCTCGGAGCAAGGAATGGGACAACTCGCTGCGGCCAACTCACCGCAGGACAACTTGCGATGGGACAATTCAACAACTCAATTGAATGATTTAAAATAAGTATTTTAATTGTGGCCTTTCACGTTTCATTCTGTCCCTCCTTTTTGCATCCTTTTTTTTCCAATGATTCTATGCTGTTAGGAATAACAAGGTTACCTAACGTAGTTTGGGTAAAATAATATATATAAACTATGATAGTAAGTTTAAGTGTGTGTCACTTTAAATTGCAAAGCATGTAATTTTGGGTGCGGTCTGAAACCGCCATAAGAGGGAGCAAGAGAACCTGACGATTGCTGGTTTGATGGATTGATGGTTTGCTAATTGCGTGTTTCGTACTGCTGAGTTTTTGAACGTCAAAGGAAGAAAGGAGGTTTGACTTCTTCATATCTCTACTGCAAGGAGATATATTACTGGACTGATATTTGTAAGTTTACTGACCTCTTTTTCGACACTGGAATTTGCAACTGAATAATCCCCGGACGGACTGAATTAGTGAATGATATATGGACTGTTTGACTATGCTAAAACTCTTACTGGAATAAACTATTTAACTAGCACAGTGTATCTCTGAGAGTTACTGAGTATAAGCTACAAAGACATTTATCTCACATATTTTGTCTGACTGCCTGACTGCCATGCAGATTCTGCTAGGGTGTATCCCTAACATATGCCATGGTTTATTTAATGAAGGTTTGACTCTTGTCCTGAAACAAGTCGTCCCATGGCGAATTGGCCGTGGTTAATTGGCCACAGTGAATTGTCATAGCCCCCTCATAGCATGCTTCCAGACTGTCAATCAAAGAGATCAGGAATTACTCCAGAATCTCTCTGCATTCAAAGGGAGGAGCTTGGCTCTGAATGGCTCTCCTTGTCCACTAAGCAAAGAACTTTAGCTAGTTACATGGTGGGGTTTTGTGTGTATGACACAGCTTGTCATGCAAACCCATCCCACTAGGTTAATTTATTTTACTCATCAAATTTGAACCCCTCCCTCCTTCCCTCCCTCACCCCACCTCACCCTCCCCGTTCAATTTATGTGGAAATGGATTAAGCAGACAGAATAAAAATTTAGACTAATTCAGTGAACAGCTTCACCGCATTGTGTGAACACAGTGTTGTGGTTCGCCAGCAGCAGGTGCGGATGGCTGAGGTCTCTGACAGTGAGGAGGAGGCTGGTGAGGTCTCGGACGAGGGGCCTGTGTGTGATGCAGGGATGGGGGCCGGAACTATCGGAGAATGGGGTGCTGCCTTCGGAGTTTGGGGACCCTGACAGCAGTGATGCAGAGGACCCCAGGGAGCCTGTGCCCAGTGTGCGTATGCGCAGGGCCGCTCAAGGGAAAGAGCAGCTGCAGCAGCAAGGGCGACTTGGAAGTAAGGCTGGAAGGTGATGCTCCATTCCAGCAGGGATAAAAGCCAGCCCTCGGGGATGAGTTCTTTGCAGGAAGCAAAGGAATTCTTTATACTCAGAATCTTCGTTGAAGCCCTGCTTACTCAGGTTTGTTTTTTCAAAATTCTGGCTTGGGATATTTATCTGCAATTAGTCTTTTGTCCTTGGCAGCCTTTCACAACCTTGAAAGGGCTTGCTCTTATCTTGGACAATTAGTTTTGAACGACTCTTGGCTGTGAATGCACAGAATTCACAGCATCGTATTAAAAGAGGTTTGCTTTTATACGCCGTTTGCGTTTGTTTAATTTGAACACGGCTTGGGTCAGAACACACAGCTTTAATCATGAGAAGGACATTGAAAATGAATTGGTGGCCAAGGCCTTCATCTTTGAACCATCAACTGGAGGATGGGAAGGAGAGATAAATAAAACAAATTGCTATTTATACCACAGACTCACAGCCGCACTTTCTTGAAAGGTTTGCCAGGTTTCTTATCTTATTTAAGAACCTGCCAGACCTGTTAACCAGGAGCAAAATTAGCATCACCCACTAGCTACATCGAAAATGTCTCTTCCCAAATTGTTTTTAGTGCTTAGTAACTGCCCGTCCATTGACAGCCCAAATCTGGTTTCATTTATTAGGCTTGTTTGCCAGCCATCTTGCCTAGAGGAGGCTCTTTTGAGAGGGAGAGAAAGAGGAAAGGATTATGCATGGGTCGTGGAGACTCGGTCTTGTCTTTTTGCCACAATGGCATGTGGCAAAAACCCTGGGAGAATGGGCAAAGAGAGACAGCCAGATAAGCAGCAGCACAGCTCAAAGATGGATGCAGGAAGTGTTGTGGTTAGCCGGCAGCAGGTACAGACGGCTGAGGAGAGCGAGGACTCAGATGAGGGGCTAGGACTGTTAGGGAGCGGACTGCTGCCTTCAGAGATTGTGGGGACTGGCAGCAGCGATGAGGAGGTTCCCGAGGAGCCTGGGCCAAGTGCGCGTGCACACAGGATTGCTCGCAGGAAAGAGCAGCTGCAACAGCACGGGCGACTCGAGAGTAAGGCTGCAAGGTAATGGCCCCTCCTTCAAGAAGATAAAAGCCAGCTGTGAATCGGACGTTCTTTGCAGGAAGCAAAGACGTTTTGAAACTCCAGCCTCGTGGACATTACAGTATCTTAGTTGGTATTTGAAGGCTCTTGTGTTGTAAAATATTTCTAGGTAACCTTATCTGTTACTCTTGGCAGCCTCGCACAGTTTTGGCGAGGCTCGTGCTTATCAAAGTTAATTAATTCGCAGCAGCCTTTTAACTGGGGATTCATAAGAATCATTAAAAGGTTTCTATTCCTTTTGGTTCACGTTCGTTTTATTGGAAAAGGGTTCGGGTCAGAACAGGAAGTCCTCGACTTATGACCTACAACTGAGCCCAACATTTATCTCACTAAGCGAGGGGGTGGTTAAGTGAGTTTCGTTCCGTTTTGTAACCTTTCTTGCCACAGCTATTAAATGAATCAGCGCAGTTGTTAAATTAGCAAGTGTCCATGGAGATTCTCAATTCTCCAGCTCATGGTTGTCCCAAAGGTGCTTTTCCAGAAGGCAACTGAACTTTCTTTGTTTTGATCCTGAAGACATTTCGCTTCTCATCCAAGAAGCTTCTTCAGTTCTGACTCCAGTTCCGAAGGAGGTTTTCCGATGACAAGCGAAACATCTTCGGAAGAAAAACAAAACAGGCCCAGCTGCCTTTTGAAAAAGCACCTTTGGGACACGGTTGTTAAGTGGATCTGGCTTCCCCACTGACTTTCCTTTGTCGGAAGGTCGCAAAAGGTGATCACATGACCCTGGGGCGCTGCAAACCGTCATAAATATGAACCAACTGTCAAGCCCTTGAATTTTGATTACGGGATCACGAGGATGCTGCAACGGTCGTAAGTGTGCAAAACGGTCCATAAGTCACTATTTTCAGTGCCATTGTAATTTGGAAGAGTCACTGAGTGAGTGGCTGTAAGTCAAGGACTACCTGAAATGGGCAAGGACAAGAGGGTCAGAAGAGGCCCTCCCTAATTCTTTGGGCTATACAAGAGATTGCGGGGGGGAGAACTGTACTCTCATACTTGCAAGACTCTATCCATGTCGCTTTGGAATAAAGTAGAAATACGTTGCTCATCCAGTCGTGATTCCTTCCTGCTTTACCTGGTCAGGCCGACACTCTAACTTATTAAAATGGCAAAGTGAGCAAAATCTCCTATAACAGGGGTCGCCAACCTTTTGGACCTCAGGGACCACCAACCCCATAATTTTAAATCCCGCGGACCAGAGACCCTGGGAAAATCCCCCCAAAAAGTCTGCAGGAAAATTTCCCCACCCCGTTTTCCTACCGATCGATCGTTCTTTATTTGGGATCGCAGGATACCATCTCCAGCTCCATTCTTAGGTCGGGGGAGAGACTTTTGGCTTCATGCAAGGAAAGCAGCAAGAGCTGCAGAAGTCTTTCTTTCTCTCCCCCAAACTCCGCCAGAATGGCGCAGCCTCTTGGAGCAGGATGCCCTGCAGGGTCCCAAAGACTCATTTCTGGAAGAGTTTGGGGGAGAGAAAGAAAGACTTTTGGCTGCTTTCCTTGCATGCAGCCAAAAGCAGAAGAGGAAAGAAGCCGAAAGAAGCAGCCCGGTTGCCGGATGAGGCACGTGGGGCAAGTTCCCCTCCTCCACCCTTTCCCTCCTCCCCTCACTATCTCGCGTTGTTTGCTATGCAAGCAATGCAAGCCTTGTGTTCCATGCAGCCTGGATTAATCGCTTTGGGGGTGACATTTCTCTGCGGACCACCGAAATTTTCTCGCGGACCACCAGTGGTCCCCAGCCCACTGGTTGGCGACCACTGTCCCTATTAACACACACCCTGCTCAGTTACAGTGTCACCCCTTTTCGCCCTTACCTCCACGCCACACAGGAAATACATGATGCTGTTCTCCAGTTCTCCAAAGTTCAAATACTTCTGGGTAATTGGAGTCACCATAGTCTGTAGAGGAAAATCAATACAAGTTTCAGATTGTTTACCTACTCCTGCAGTGACCTTCAAATATTACAAGCAGCAACTTTCAATACATTATAAACTCCTGGTTTTGATTCTCGACATTTCAACTTCTGAGTCTTCCAAATGAGGATGTCATGCCCTTGTTGGAATCTGATTCCAAGGGGGAGGTCGAATAGCTGACAGGGAGTGGGAGTGTGGCTCCGGTGGCTGTGGAGGAAACTGGGGAAGGGCACAGTCCGGCTGGGCATTCAGAGGAAGACCCAGGCCCACCCCCTCTTCATCCTCGGGCATGCAGGGAGGAACAGATAAGGGAGCAACATGGGTTATGGGGGAGAAAGAGGCCCTGATTCCCTTCATTAGCTGCAAATGGGAAAACAGGATATAAAGGGCGTTGGCGCATAGCACTTTCCTGGAAGCAAAGCGTGCATTATCTTTGTTTGTCAAGTCTTATCTGGGTTCTGGCGTTCTCCTAACTGTGTGTGTTTCATTATCTTTTGAGTTCTGCAATTCCTTATCCTGCCTTGTCTTGTTAATTGCTGCAGCGTGGTTTGTGTTGGTTTTTATTTATAATCTATATATACTGTGAGGTCGGGTGCATTATTAGAATGCAGTATTGCAGGCTAACTCTGCTCACTGTCAGGAGTTCGATGCTGACTGGCTCAAGGTTGGGTCAGCCTTCCACCTTTCTGAGTTCAGTAAAATGAGGACCCAAGTGGTTGAGGGCAACATGCTGACTCTGTAAACCACTTAGAGGGGGCTGTAAGCGGTATATAAATCTAAGTGCTCCTGCTATAGCTGCGTGTTCTGGCTCACTGCACAACCCCGCCGTTCCAGCTACTAAATTTAAATATCTTAACATTAAGCCTCCCACGTTCTGCTTTCAGAGCTCCCAAAGGAGCCCAGGGTTGATGCACAACTAGGCCTACCTACCTCCAATGCCGTTTGATTGAAGAGAGTAATGAACTGGGCGGTGAGGAGAACCACCACTTCTTCCCGCAAATATTCTGAAATGAAAACACAACCACCATCAAGTCTGGAAGAGCCTCGTTGAGGCTGAGGAGGCAGGAGGCCCTTTTTACTCTGGGGATGGAAAAAGAAACGAAGGGTTAATCATAAAACCATCCCTTCTGGGTCTTTCTTTGAGAGCTCTACTTGGCAACGTTCAAGGTTGGATTCCCACAAGCCCCTGAACCAGGCTAACAAAAGACCCTGGTTATGAACTTCGTTAGAGAGTTCTCAAGTTTACTGCAATGTGCAAACTCTGTTTATCTGGTTAATATATAATGTGGATGCCAAATAAGTTGATTCAGTAATTAAAATCATTGTAGGAGGAAAGCCATGTTAGTCTGTGGTAGCCAAAACATTCTTCTACATTTGCACTGACTTTCCGTAGTTACATTGCTTTACACACTGTAAGCAGACCACGTTTTCATCTTGGTTAGCTATCTGGTTTCTACTACTGTATTTTACTGAATCCAACTTATCTGGTTCAATATAGAATTAAGGAGAAATTTCCTAATGGTGAGAACAATTAACCAGTGGAATACCTCGCCTTCAGAAGTTGTGGGTGGCCCATCACTGGAGGGTTTCCAGAAGAGACTGGGGCAGACACTGGTCTGAAATGGTATAGACTTTCCCACTTGTGCAGGGAGTTGGACTAGATGACCTCCAAGGTCCCTTTCTGTGTTATTCTATGTTCTATACATTCATAGGAAAATAAAGAACTGCAGAATTCAACACAGTGGCTCTGTGGAAGACCACTGTTGCTGCAAGGATTTGCTGATGTATTTCTCCTTCGTATTAAGACGAGTCTAGACGTTTAGAGGTCAGTCTGAGCCAGCCTGCTTGTTTACCTCTCTTGCTTACTGAGGAAAGGAGAAGAAAATGGAGGGAAATCTCCACATAGCTTCACATTTTCCCCCGCTGTGAAAAGCCTTTCGAGTTTGGCACCCCTGGTATAAGGTCTCCAGCTTGAGCAGGGGTTGGACTAGAAGACCTCCAAGGTCCCTTTCAAGCACTGTTATTCTGAAGAGGCTGGCTTGTCCTTATATGGCCGAGCTTCACCAAGGCCAGCTTCTGAGTCACTCCCATCTCAAAAGTAATATATCTTACACCAGGGGTGTCCAACCTTGGCAACTTTAAGGCTTGTGGACTTCAACTCCCAGAATTCCTCAGCCAGCAAAGTCCACAAGTCTTAAAGTTGCTAAGGTTGGACACCCCTGTCTTACACCAAGGTCAAGTCTTGCAGTCTCCTGACTGGAGCAGGACCAAAAAGCCATGGTGCCAGGTTTCCATCAAACCCGGGTATTGTTGTTATTCGTTGGGAACTTCTGAATGGAACATTAGCACTAGTTACTGTAGAAACTGGTCACTTGGGGGTATCTCTGCTGTCCTTTTTAAAGGACTCCTGGCAGCCTATAAGACATTTGGGGGCCATTCTTGCTTGGCGAGGTATGCTGTTCGCGTTATGCTTTTAACCCTGTTTGCTTGAGCTAATAATAAAACTTAAAATTCCTTTATTTCCTGAAGTGTTCAGTCTCTCTGGATCCAAAAGAATCCATTGCCTGGGCACCTGATCGCTGCCTGACACTTGGCAAAACATTCAGTAACCAGATCAGACTATTTCTGTGAATCGGTGTCTATCATAAAATCCAGTCCTGCCCCATTTGGAGATTTGAAGGTACTTTTTTCGTGCGATGCTAAGCGTTAGAATTATTCTGTACTTTTAAGACAGTGACAAAGCAAATTTGAGGTTTCCTTAATTCATGTGCTTTTATAGAGGATAATAGGAGTTGGGTGATTATGCCACACAGAGGTATTTGCAAGGAGCTACTAAGGCTAGAGATATCACTAATGACACAGGAACTGCACAGGACCAAAATGGATGCCCTCTCTGATTGTTTAAAGGAGTAATATGGGTGCCTTATCCTCTAGAGTGGTGCAGTGGCCTAGAGACAGAGCTCTTGCCTCACAATCTGGAGGCTGTGAGTTCAATCCTAGGTAGAAGTAGATATTTCTCTCTCTGAAAATATATCTGCTGAGTGTAGCTCCACATTGGTGACAGGAAGGGCATCTGGCCAGTAAACACATATCTCCTTTCAGTTGCCCAGCTTCCAGCCCTCAAGGAAATATGGGGTCATTAAAAGATGACGATGGGTGCCTTACCATCAAAATTAGACTAATTAGCCCAATCATAAAGAGAATTTTTCAGAAACTTTTCTAGAATAGGTAGATTACTTTTGAAACGCCTCAGAACAAAAAACAGGTCAAAAGTCCCTTTATTTCTACTCTGCGGGTCGCACAAAAGGATTACAGGACCGGAGGCTAAACCACATGAGGAACGACTGAAGAAACTAGGAATGTTTATTGTAACTAAGAAAAAGGACTAGGGGTGACAAGAGAGCAGTGTTCTGGTACTTGAGGGGCTGCTACAAAGAAGAGGGAGGCCAACCTATTATCCTCCAAACCACCTGAAGGCAGTGTTAGGAATAACATAGGTTACCTAACATAGTTTGGGTAAAATAATATATATAAACTATGATTGTAAGTTTAAGTGTGTGTCACTTTAAAACTGCAAAGCATGTAATTTTGGGTGTGGTGTGAAACCACCATAAGAGGGAGCAAGAGAACCTGACAATTACTGGATTGCATGGATTGATGGTTTGTTAACTGCGTGTTTCCCCTACTGCTGAGTTGCTGAAGGAAGAGAGGAGTTTTTGACTTCTTCATATCTCTACTGCAAGGAGATATATTACTGGACTGATATTTGTAAGTTTACTGACCTCTCTTTTTCAACACTGGACTTTGCAACGGTATAATCCCTGGACGGACTGAACTAGTGAATGATATATGGACTGTTTGACTCTTACTGGAATAAACTATTTAATTAGCACCGTGTATCTGTTTTACTGAGTGTAAACTACAAAAACGTTTATCTCACATATTTTGCCTGCTTGCCTGACTGCCGTGCAGATTCTGCTAGGGTGTATCCCTAACAGGCAGGACAAGAAGCAACGGGTGGAAACTTATCAAGGAGAGATACATGTTAGAACCAAGTAGAAATTTCTTGAAAGTGAGAAAAAATTAATCCATGGAACAGCTTGCCTTCAGAGGTTGTGGAGATTGGACCGTCTAGATATAGCCTCCTGCTTGAACAGGGAGTTGGACTAGAAGACCTCTAAGGTCCCTTCCAACCATTATTATATGTTCTAAAAAGGGATCACACGCAGCCCACAACCTGGGCAACGATACGACATCACCTGTTCCTGCCACAATGAAGATCACCTCACCTTTCATGGAGGCAAATTGAAGGAAGGAGTTCTTGTCTTCTCCAGCCGATTCTTCATCTGCCAAGTGTCCATTGGGCACATACCGGCAGTCATCGCCAAGGGAAGGTTGTGGAGGTCCCACCGGGGTGCTGCCATAGCAGCTCCCTTCCGTGGCCGCTCCTTGGCGGCCCTCGTGGCCTATCAGTGGCTTCCGCTCGTCTTCCAAGGCGTCCCACTGCACCGTTGATACACTCCTTGCCGTGTGAGTCGGTGGCTGTATGTCGTAGTACATCAGCATCACAATAACTTGGAGCAGAATCCACACCAGGCACATGAAGAGCTGTCGATAGGAGTCAGGGAGGAGAACAGAAGAATAAAAAGCGCTTTTTTTTGCATAACACAGAACCGAGCGCCGGGAATAAAAGCCCTGGGATAACCAGAAATCTTTTGATTCCATTTCATCGAAGGGCAAAGGGTATCCGATGCTGAAATTTTAAGACCGCACTGAAGGATTATTCACCAGCAGCATTTATACAACCAATGGCGTTAAGTAAATATTTGATTGACCTAAAGCTAGACAGAGGTCTCCAGGAACCCAAGGGTGGGGGGGGGGCAGGGGGGGGGCTTGCTTCTGAGCAGGCTTGCGCTGAATTATGGTAGGAATCTAAAACCTTGCTCTTAAAAAGGGCTCTCAACGTGCATGCTTTTGAGCAGGTTTTTAATGGGGGTTGTTTAAAATTTGGGTTTGAACTCATTTCAACGTTACTGCAATTGTTCTTACAGTAAAGTGAGAGAAGAAATGGAGTTGGAAGAATGTGAACTACTGCAGTTTGATCTAGTGCAGGGATCCCCAAACCCCCAGGCTGTGAACTGACACCGGGCCGCGGTATGCAAGCAAACGGGGTGCGTAAAAAAAGCAAAGCCCCTTCCGGCAATCAAGCAGGATGGGAAACCACGCCCACCCTGGACCGTGGAAAAACCTTTCTCTCCAGAACCTGTCCTTGATGCCCAAAAGGTTGAGGGGGCCACTGATTTAATGGATAAGACTTTGAGCCCACCAAAGAGACGGTGAGTTCTAATTCCACCTTAGGCATGAAAACCAGCTGGGTGACTTTGAGCCAATCACTAGGAGACCGTGAGTTTTCATCTCACTTTAGGCACGAAAGCCAGGCTGGATAACTTTGGGCCAGTCACTCTCTCTCAGCCCAACCCACCTCACGGGGCTGTTCTTGTGGGGAAAATAGGAGGAGGAGGAGGAGGATGTGTTGGATAAATTCTCCACTTTGATTTATTTGTAAACATAATAAAGGGGGAATATAAATAAATAAATAAGCCGATGAGATTATACAATTTATTGTATAATTCTCTCGTCAGTACAGGTATTCCTCGACTTACAATTACAATGGACACCACCAGAATTTCTGCTGTTAAGACAAGCAGCTGTTAAGTGATTACTGCCTGATTTTATGACTTCAAAAATGTCGAACTAGTTTTGTTACCTAATCTGGTTAATATTTTAACATTCACAGGAGCCGTGGTGGTGCAGTGGTTAGAATGCAGTACTGCTGGCTACTTCTGCTGACTGCCAGATGCCTGCAATCTGGCAGTTCAAATCTCACCAGGCTCAAGGTTGACTCAGACTTCCAAGGTGGGTAAAATGAGGACCCAGATTATTGGGGGGCAATATGCTGACTCTGTAAACCCTTAGAGAGGGCTGTGATCACTGTGAAGCAGTATGTAAGTCTGCTATTGCTATTTGTGATATTAATTGTAAGCCAACCCAGAGTCCTTTGTGGAGTGAGATGGGCAACATATATACATTTAATTAATAAATACTGCTTCTAAAAAGAACAAATTCTTCGCAACTTACCCCGGGGGATGTAAACTTATTCACCACAAAAGGCCCCAAATGGAAATTGCAGAGGCGCAGGAAAAGGTTACAGGCTGGTCCTGGAAGCAAATATGACAGAACAGGTATATGAAGAGGGCATACAGGTTACCTGCCAAGACATCAGCATCTTCTGCAGTGACCTTCCTTCAACCTCCAAGCCACCCAGAGTCACTGTTTCGTAATTTAATAAATAAACAAATTTATTCAAACCCTTCCTTTCCCCATAAGATGGCAGCTACAAGAAAAAGACTCTTCTTAGTGGTGGCACCCCAGCCACAGGTATAAAAGTTAACTAGTCCTAGTATTATAACTTTGGAAAGGACATTTAGGACCCTCAACTCCAGAGTTGGAAGGGTCCTTGGAGGTCTTCTAGTCCAACCCGCCGCTTAGGCAGGAAACCCTATATCATTTCAGGCAAATGGTTATCCAATCTCTTCTTAAAGACTTCCAGTGTTGGAGCATTTACAACTTCTGGAGGCAAGTTTTTTCCACTGGTTAATTGTTCTAACCGTTAGGAAAGTTCTCCTTAATTCTAAGTTGCTTCTCTCCTTGATTAGTTTCTATTCATTGCTTCTTGTCCTACTCTCAGTTGCTTTGGAGAATAGCTTGACTCCCTCTTCTTTGGGGCATCCCCTGAGATATTGGAAGACTGCTATCATGTCACGCCTAGTCCTTTTCATTAAACTAGACATACCCAATTCCTGCAACAGTTCTTCATATGTTTTAGCCTCCAATTCCCTACTCATCTTTGTTGCTCTTCTCTGCACTTTTTCTAGAGTCTCAACATCTTCTTTACATCATGGTGATCAAAACTGGATGCAGTTGTGGTCTTACCAAGGCATTATAAAGTGGTATTAACACTTCACATGATCTTGGGGTTTAAACCATTAGGAGTTTATTCAACATCTAGATAGCTACAGGTTCCTCAACTTGTTCTAGAACAGGGGTGTCCAACCTTTCACCTTCCCTGGGCCACATTAGAAGATGAAAATTTGGTTTGGGCAGCACATAAAATAAAATAACAGTAACGATACCTGATCATCCAAAAAAACCATAGAAAACATAGTTAACATATTAAATTTATTTGGAAATGAAGTTAGTGAGATGTTTTTATTATTAATTATTTATTAAAAATTATTTATTTTTTATCACAGTTTTTTTATCACGTTTTTTTTATCATGGTTTATTTTCCGGCCAAATTTTGCGGGGGGGTGGGGGGGTGGAGAAAGCTCACCCGCCTCGCGCCTACCTCTCCTCCTGCAAATGGCCCGGCTGGATGAGGCAGGACTGGAAGGCAGAAGCAGCAGCAGCGGCGGGGGCAGAAGCAGCGGCGGGGGCAGCGGCGGCGGGGGCAGAAGCAGCAGCGGTGGCAGGGGCAGAAGCGGAGGCGGCAGGGGCAGAAGCGGCAGCGACGACAGGGGCAGAAGTGGCAGCGGGGGCAGAAGCAGCGGGGGCAGAAGCGGCGGCGATGGCGGTGGTGGCAACAGCAGGAGGTGGCGCTCTGACGGTGTCTGCTTTTTCTGTTGCTGCTTGGCCTGGCGCTCGCCCTGCCTCGCGCCTGCTTCTCCTCCTCCTCCTCGCTGGCTCTGGCACGAAGGTTGGGGTGGGCACTGGGCCGCATTACAAGGTGACCTGGGCCGCATGCGGCCCTTGGGCCGCAGGTTGGACAAGCCTGTTCTAGAACTTCCAAGCAATTTAGAGTATATAAATAAATAGTTCCAGTTGCTATTTTCACTGCTCTCTTCAAAAAATTTTTTTAAAATGTTTGTTTTCATTGAAACAGCAGCTGCTCAGCACATCTGCTTGCTTAAAAACTGCTCTGAAGTTCCAACGTTAGAGAAGTTTATCTTCTAAAACTGGCCTTTTTCATGCCAATTTTAATTTCATCCACAAACTGCCTTGGCTGAATAAAATCCAGTGCTGGTAACGGGCCTACATAACCGATCTTCTATATTTTTATTTTTATTTTCTCCTTCCAGAAATCCTCCCAGAGAATGTAAAGAAGGCCAACGACAAAATACAGGTTGTCCTGGACTTATAACAACTATCAACACCAAAATTGCTGCTTGGAGCCTTTTAAGTGAAACATTTGTTAAGTGAGTTTTGCCCCCTTTTTATGATCTTTCTTGCCACAGTTATTGAATGGATCATTGCAGGGGTGAAATTAGTAACACGGTTATTAGCAATAGCATTAGACTTATATACCGCTTCACAGTGCTTTACAGTCCCTCTCTAAGTGGTTTACAGAGTCAGCATATTACCCCCAACAATTTTAGGTTCTCATTTTACCCACCTCGGAAGGACTGAAGGTTGAGTCAACCTTGAGACTGATGGGATTCGAACTGCCAAATTGTAGGCAGCCAGCAGTCAGCAGAAGTAGCCTGCAATACTGCATTCTAACCACTGCGCCACCACGGCTGTTAAATGGCTTGTCCAAAGGTCACAAAAGGCAATCACAGGACCCCAGCACCCTGCAACCGTCATAAATACGAGTCAGTTGCCAAGTGTCTGAATTTTGATCACATGACCGTGGGGATGCTTCAATGGACACAAGTGTGAACACCGGTCGTAAGTCACTTTCTCCAGTGCCGTTGTAACTTTGAATGGTCAGGTAAAATGAAATGTTACAAGTCTACCTGTACCGCAATGCAAACTTCCAGCGCTGACACAGAATGTGGGAAGGATCTGTCAAAAGTGGAGTCCTTACCAATAAGCAGCCCAACCTGGCGGCATGCCATGACGGCGGCAAAGACCTTGGACCTCTCCTGCGAAGTGGTAGAGCGGGTGAGGTAGCCAAAGATGGAGGCCCCTGCTCCAGTCCCCACACCTGTAGCGGAGATCCAGAAAAAAGTCCATTGGAAAAGGAAAGAATGGCAAATTTAAGCACATCTTCACTCACCCACCCACCCAAAGCCTGTTATCCAATTTAGCCCTCCCTGTCTGACACCTAAGATTGAAAATCATAAGCTACGTCTTTTCTATCCTGCTCTACGGAGTGGAGAGTTAGTCCCTTGAAGAGGCTAGAGGCATTTGAAATGTGGATTTATAGACGGCTGTTACGTGTAAGTTGGGTTGACAAAATCAGAAATGAGGAGGTGACAAGCTGCCTGGGAAAGCCAAGGGAAAGCACCAAAGCCATTAAAAAGCAAACGTTAGAATATTTTGGAGATGTGGTGTGACACCCGGAAAAATATGGCATACTTCACTTAATCCTCCACGGAAAGACTGAAGGCAAATGAAGTCCAGGCAGAAGAAAAACATCATGGCTTCAAAATCTAAGGGACCAGTTTGAACAAAACTCAGTAGCATTTTTTCGTGATGCTCTTGATAAAAATAGGATTGCCAACACGATCGCCAACGTCCGATGATGGATATGCCACAAGAAGAAGTCTTGACACCTTCAAGATTTGTCCAGCTAATATCTGGTTGGCTGGGCAAGATATTTTCTTCCGATGCAGTTCTCTTGGTTAAATTTAGAACCAGGGCAACAAAGCCCAGTTTAATACATTTAAAAGAATTCAAAACCAGCTAAAATCTACAAATCCAAAAGATAACTGAAGTCCTGTGTTTGTGCAATCCTCTTAACTTGTCACTCAGGCATTTTGTTTTTTATTTTATTTGAATCTGAATTTGCACAATATACATGGAAATAAAGACTAACCAAATAAGCTAGTTTGGCCCAAACAAGCTAAGTTGCAAAACAACTTAGCACATTAATGTTTTTTTGGCTAGGCCTTTTATCTAAAAGATTTAGTAAGCTGTGTGGAAAGAGGAGGAAAGAAGTGAAGCAAAAGGGCTGATAAGAGTTGGAGAAACTTAAGCTCCCAAATTAAGGAAAAAAGTGAAGAAAGTTCCCTTATTTGTACCTCAAAGCTCAATGAGTTGAGTTGGGTTGAGCTGTCCCCTGTCCTTACCTGCTACTAGTCGGCTGCTGAGAAGCATCCATTTGGAGCCACCCACGAAGTACATGAAGTTTCCTGAAAACAAAGACAACAGAGTAGAAAGAACAGAAGCAAAAGATGGCTTGGTGGCGCTCAGACAGCCCTACATCACAGGACTAGAACCCACCTGGAATGAGGCTGCCCACGATGCCACCAAGGTTGATGGCACCCAGTGCTAAATCATTCGTGGACAGCATGATGCCGGTTGTGGTTTTGTGCAGCAGAACAGCTCCCTAAACAATGATCAGGGGAACAAGTGGATTATGGGTACATTTAGGACAGGTTTAGATGTCCGAAACCTGGAAGGAGGGACTGACTCTCTATGGGAATAAATTTACTGAGCATAAGATGGAAAAATGGATCTGTGGAACAATCTATCTATGGAAACTGTGGGTTCTCCATTTCTGGGAGCTTCCAAAAAGAGATGCGCAGTCACCTCTCAGGGACGGTTTTGCTGGCATTCCTGCACATTGCAGAAGGATGGATTAGATGAACCTTGCAACTCCACAGTTCTATGATTCTGGGATTAAATGCCTGGCCACAGAGGAAAGCGTCTATAGCTGAACTGTGAAATATTACAGTATGTGCACGGGGAATTGTTTCCATGGATTCAACAATTCTGTTATTTTTATAGTTTGCTGCACAGTCGGCCACATGTTCAGACTGGATTTGGCATTGTTGTCCACCACTCAAGCCCTTCCCAAAGACTTGGATAGGCAGATGGGGGGGTGTTTGGTGATAATAAAGAGCCGTGGTGGCGCATTGGTTAGGAGGCAATATTGCAGGCTAATTCTGCCGACTGCCAGCAGTTCAACGCTCACCAGGCTCAAGGTTGACTCAGCCTTTCATCCTTCCGAAGTCAGTAAAGTGAAGAGCCAGACTGTTGGGAGTCCAAGTGCTATTCCTACTATTATTAAAGGTACTGCCGCAGGCCGAAAGCTGTTCCAAGCAAAGCTGCCTTTTGCAATTCACCGGTGGAAATTTTGCCAATCGTGTTCAAGCGGTGCTCTGGATGTTTTGGGATTGCACCTGGCACCTATTACTATTATACTACAGTACCTTGGCTTTCTCTTGTCACCGTGGTTTTATTTCTACTGAAGCAAAATTTTAAAAAAATGAAGTTAGTACCAATAATATCCAGTCAAATGCCTTTTTGAAGTCAAAGGGACCTTGGAGATCTGAAGGAACAGAAGGTGGCAAATTATCCTGAGAGGGCGACCTGTCTCAACCTCCCCCAGCAGGGTCCACTCACCTGCTATCTGAAACAAGTTGGCAAACATGATGCTCCCCTTGGTTCGACGGGTGCGGTCGGACCAGTATCCAAAGAAGGGACCCGTGATTAATCCAGCAAAGCTAAAGGCAGAGAGAGCCAGGCCCAAGTAGTACGGTTCAGCATTGAGCTTTTGCAGATAGGCCCAAATGGTTGGCAGGATCACCGCTGGGTGGAAGGAAGGGAGGAAGAAGAGAGAGGCCAAAGTTAAGAAACGTGTCCAAAGAGGCGTGCATCAGAAGACGCCCTCTTATAGCCAAAATTACAGAAGAGCTCGGGCTTTCGGCCGCAGTTCAAGCCCCAAATTTCCATGGCAAAGCGAAACAGTTGTTAAGCGAGTTTTGCTCCATTTTACGACCTTTCTTTCCACAGTTGTTAAGTGGATCGCTGCAGTTATTAAATTAGCAGCACCATTGGTAAATGAATCTGGCTTCCCCATTGTCCTTGAGGGTCAGGTCGCAAAAGGGGATCACCATCAGAGGTGGTCATTCAGCAGGTTCTGACCAGTTCTGGAGAACCGGTAGCAGAAATCTTGAGTAGTTCGGAGAACCGGCAAATACCCCTTCTGACTGGCCCCACCAACCCCATCTATTCTCTGCCTCCCATTGAGTCCCAGCTGATAGTCTGGGTTTTTCTTTGGTTGCCCTGCACAGGAGAACGGAACTGGAAAGCAGGTTAGTGGAGTGGGGAGGGAATGGGGATTTTGCAGTAACCTTCCCCCAGGAGTGGGGAGGGAATGGGGATTTAACAGTATCCTTCCCCTGCCAAGCCACGCCCACAGAACCAGTGGTAAAAAAAATTGAATCCCACCACTGGATCACGTGAGCCCCCAGGACATAGCAACTGTTGTAAGTATGTGCCAGTTGCCAAGAGTCTGGATTTTGATCACGTGACCATGGGAATGCTGCAAAGGTCATTAAGTGTGGAAAACAGTCATGGGTCACTAAAGAAATGGTTGCAAGTTGAGGATGGCCTCTCTCATCTTGAATGGAGGCTAACAGCAGATCCCTACCAAGCATACTGTAGGTTTCTAGTCTTATGCCCCGGCCATTTCCTTTCTCGTTTTGAAAACTCTAGTTTTCTTTTCTGGCTTGGATGGCAAGTCCCACTTTGCTAAATGCAGGTTTTGGGTTGCAAAACTTTTGATCTGAGCCACACAGCTGCTGTGGTTAGCCACGGTTCTCCATAGGCTCTGAACCAAGCCAGGCAAATCCTTTGAAGCTCTGCGGGCTGGGATTATACAAAAAGGCCAAGCCCAAAAACAAAAACAACAAACCCACATTACAGCTTAACGCCAATGTCTTAAGCGAGGTCTTATCTTGTTTTCCCTTTTTAAAAAAAAACAAACAAAAAACCCTCATTTCAACTGCCAGTAATGTGGTTGTATGAAAACCACAGCTAAGGAGAAGGGAACCCTAGAAACAAAACTGAGGATTTATACATCTCCCGGGGAAGTATTTTGATTTAATACGCGCTTATATTTTTATTTGGTATGTGCTTATATTTAAGTGCAGTACAAGATGTGTTCTCCCCACAAAGACCACCCTGTACATTAGGTTGGACTGGGACATAGGTAGTCCTCCACTTACAACCACTCATTTACTTACTGTTTAAGATTTAAAGTCACAGCGTCGCTAAAAACTGTGACTTAGGGTGGTTTTTCACACTTACGACCATGGCCGCTTCCCCAGGATCACGGGATCCAAATTCAGATGTGTGTATTTATGATGGTTGTGGTGTCATCATGTGACAGACTTTCCGCGACCTCCTGATGAGCCAAGTCAATGGGGAAGCCATTAACAGCTGTGGTGAGTTAACAACTATTGTGGCAAGAGAGGTGGTAATAAACGGGGCAGGACTCACTTGGACAATTGTCTTGTTTTGTGATGGAAACTTTGGGCTCAACTATGGTCGTAAGTCGAGGACTACCGTGTTTCTCCCAAAACACGACCCACCCAGGGGTGGGCTTCAAAAAAGTTCTCTGCCCAGTTGCTGGGTGGGCGTGGCCTAGTCGGCCTCCTGCACCACGATGGAGGAGGAGCGTTTTTGACCTCCCCGGGCTCCGGAGGCTTTCCTTGAGCCTCCAGGTGGGCGAAAATGGCCTCCCCGGGTTCCGGAGGCTCTCCGGAAGCCTGAAACGGACCCATTTCCAGCCTTCCTGAATTTCTGGGAGGCCTGTTTTTTGGCTTCCCCACGTGTGCCCTGCACTTACCTGCATCCAAAATGGGCCACATGGGGACTCCTGGGAGGGGAGGGGACAGGTGGGCGGGGCCAGCCAGGAGTGGGATTTGGGGGCTTCTCCGAACTGCACAGAATCTTAGTTAGGGGCTCCCCTGAACCCTTGCGAACCCCCAGCAGCCCACCCTGGACCTACCCCAATAAGTCCAACCTAATTTTTGGGGGGGATGAGCCTAATATTATTCCTATCCCGAAAATAGGCCTGGGGGGGGAAGGGGGGGGGCCAGCATGATGGGCCGCGGCCAGCTGCTTTGCTTTTTTCCCTCTTTTTGGGAGGCTCTCGCGGGAACCTTTTTGGTGAACGGGAGGAAAATGGGGGGGGGGAGTTTCTGCCTGTAATCCATTCCTCAAGCTCAGCACAGACTGAGGGGAAGGATGGCAGGCAGGAAAATTCCCCCCTTTCCTCCCGTTCGCCCAAAAAGCCTCCATTCTGAACGCTGAAGGTTTGGAATGGAGGCGACGGTGCGTCCACGGCACGTCCGGCTCACCGCGTCTGGCCTGCTGCACCTCAAAAAAAAGTAAGATCGCCTCGAAAAATCAGCCTAAGTGCTTATTTTCAAGTCTAAAAGAAAACAAGACTGGGGCTTATTTTCTGAGAAACACGATCCCTGTACGACTGGCCCACTGTCGCCCAATAATCTTCTACGACTAAGGGAGGACTAGAATCTGGGTCTCCACGTACCTTATTACATCATGCTGGATCTTGCACAGAAGAGGAGGGACTTTCCCAACCTGCATCCTTTTAGAGCAGGGCTGTCAAACTTGTGGCCCACAGGCCAGATGTGTCATGGGCTGGCTATGCCCATGACCAGTTTAGTGAATGGGGAAAAGTCACGATATGTCGTGTCACAATGCTGTGACGATGCTAGTTTAACAGCCCTGTTTGACAGCATCGTTTAGTAGTGCTCCTGGTTTGTGTAATTTGCAACTTTTTTCCTCTGGAAATCCATTGCTACTCCCATGCCATTCCAAGGGTATTTCCTGTAACAGTGGTCACCAACCAGTGGGCTGAGGACCATGGGTGATCTGCGAGAAAATTCTGGTGGTCCACAGAGAAATGTCACCCCCAAATCAATTAATCCAGGCTGCACGGGAACACAACGCTGTGCCACCCACATGGCCCGTGGGAACACAAGGCTTGTGATTTGAATGGGGGTAGATTTGTTGGGAGTCCTGACTTTCAGCACAGCCCTCTGGCCACCAAGCCAGACTAACTCAAGCTACACTTAACCCAGACTGTTTCTATTCCAGTAAGATTTACATCAGGATCAAATGCAGTTGTTGTATTTTTTTTATCACAGGCTGTGGAGGGATGTGCCCCAAATTAACATCCTTCAAATAAGCATCCAAAGATTCAGAAATTGGCTGGAAAAACCTCAAGGTCAGCTGATAAGTGAAAAGACACTTTAATTTATTAAATCCTACCTTTTCTGAGAGCAAAATCTACCAAATTTACAAAGGAGGTCTCCCTAATTCTATGCTTACAAAAACAATCCTAGTTAGACGTGCAACCAACTCTTCATGGTCAAATCTAATACTTAACATCTGTACTGGCTGTTGGAAAAGCAAGCCTCAGAATGCTAGGCAACCAACTTACTTTAAATTTAACAAACTTTGTTTAAATTAAGAGTCACTGACTGAGACAAGGAGCTATAGAAACTGAACAAACAAACAAAGGTGTATTCATCCACATCGCTGAAACCATGGTTTAATTAATAAACTACAACTGGTTGGGCACACATGGTTCACTGTCCCATAACTCTTGTTTATGTCCGCCAGGTGAATCAGTCAGAAAATATGACTAGATGAGCTAATACTATTTTATTATAAGGCCAGGTTAACCTACTCTTGCAAATTTGTTTGAAGGTATAAATCTCCCGTAACCATTTTTAAGCACCAGAACAATTAGGGGCGGTTCCTAAGTTTCTTCCTCCAACTGTTGAGTCACTGAGGGCACCTACCTCTCTTATCTAATTGTTTCCTAGGCAGCATTTATTTCCTTCATCCTTCAAGATCATTTCCACATCCCATTACAGTTTATGAGACAGGATGCCCTGAGTTCACACCATGATTGATTTGCCCAAAAAGTCTTATTTCATTCTTTGACAATGTGACTAAATGAGCAGACCAGTGAAATACAGTATATTTCAATAAGGCATTTGACAAAGTAGACCACAAACTACTTTTTGGTAAGCTAAAAAAAAAAAAAAAAAGATGGGATAGACAGCATCACCATCAGATGGATTTGTAACTGGCTGACAAACTGTACTCAACCAGTAGTCCTTAATGGTACTACATCTACATGGAAGGGAGTAAGCAGTGGGCACAAGATTCCATTTTAGGCCCAGTATTCTTCAATATCTTCATAAACGATCTAGATGAGGGAGTAGAAAGGGAACTCATCAAAACTGCAGATGACACTAAGCTGTCAGGAACAGGCAATACTCCAGAAGACAAGCTCAGGATCCAGATGGATCTCAACAGACTTGAACACTGGGCCCTGTCTAGCAAAATGAAATTCAATGTAGATAAAAGTAAGGTTTTACACTTGGGTAAGAAAAACCAACAGTGTAGGTAGGTATAGACCAAGTGAAACCTGCCTTAATGCCAATGAGAGGGATCTTGGGAGTCCTAGAGAACCACTTAAATGTGAGCCAGCAGTGAGTGGCAACAGCCAAAGAAACCAATGCAGTTCTAGCTTGCGTTAACAGAATCAAGATCACATGAACCATTCGTACTGCTTTAGGAAGCCTTCATGAGACCACACTTAGAATACTGCATCCAACTTTGGTCACCATATTATAAAAAAGATGTTGAGACTGGAAAGAGCTCAGAAAAGAGCAAGAGGAATGGGGGCTGGAGGCTAAAAGATATGAAAAGAGTTGTAGGAATTGGGTAGGCCTAGTCACTAGTGAAAGGAAAGACTAGGA